AGCCATAAATCACTGCTGAGAGATATTTTTAAAGACATAAAGACAAAGATACATCACCCTTGCTCATGCGCTGGAAGCGTCAATATTTTGAAGACAATTTCTCCCCAACTGACACATATATTCAATGTCATCCCTACAGTTTTGGGAGGAAATTGTGAAGCTGACTCAAAAATTGTTTTGAAAATGAAAAGGGCGGCCGGGCACAGTGTCTCACACCTGTAATCCTAGCACACTCTAGGAGGCTGAAGCAGTTGGATCAATTTAGGCCAAGAGTTCAAGACCAGCCTGGCCAACATAGTGAAAGCCCATCTCCATGAAAAATACAAGACTTAGCTGGGCATGGTGGTGCATGCCTGTAACTCAGGAGGCTGAGGCAGCAGAATCACTTGAGCCCGGGAGGTGGAGGTTGCAGTAAGTCGAGATTGCGCCACTGCACTCCAGCCTAGGCAACAGAACCTGCCTCCGTCTCAAAAAAAAAAAAAAAAAAAAAAGAAAAAGAAAAAACAGAAAAGAAAATGTGAAGGGCCAAGAATAGACAAAAAAAGAACAAGGCGAGAGCTCATTCCACTGGACACCAGGCCTGGCCACGAGCGGCAGCAACCCCGGCCACACAGCACAGGCAGACAGACCAACAGGCACTGTCTAGAGAGAGACTCACACATTTGAAACCAACGGATGACAAAGGCAGCAGTGGCTCAGGGGGCAATGGGATAAGCATGTGTAAAACAAAATACAGTTTGACCCGGAGGCCACATCAGGCACAAAAAACAGTTCTGGGGGGTTCTAGAGCTGAGCGTACAGGCAAAACCACTTTCCAGAACACGATATGGAACGCTACTACGTGCCCATGTGGGCAAGAAAAGACTTCCTAAGTAGGACACAAAGAACAAGAAATATCGGCCATGCTCGGTGGCTCACACCTGTAATCACAGCACTTTGGGAGGCCAAGGCGGGCAGATCACCTGAGGTCAGGAGTTTGAGATCAGCCAGACCAACATGGAGAAACCCCATCCCTACTAAAAATACGAAATCAGCCGGTGTGGTGGCGCATGCCTGTAATCCCACCTACTGGGGAGGCTGAGGCAGGACAAGTGCTTGAATCTGGGAGGTGGAGGTTGTGCTGAGCCGAGATCACCCCACTGCACTCCAGCCTGGGCAACAATCTCGAAACTCCATCTCAAAAAAAAGACAAAAACAAAAACAAAAACAAAAACAAGAAATATCAAGAAAAGTAAAACAAATTAAAGAATAATATCAAGCAATTCTCCTGCCTCAACCTCCCGAGTAGCTGGGACTACAGGCATGTACCACCACGCCTGGCTAATTTTTGTATTTTTAGTAGAGATAGGGTTTCACTATGTTGGCCTCGCTGGCCTTGAACTCCTGACCGCCACCACACCTAGCTTTAGCCACCGTGCCCGGCCGGCAAACGTTTTCAAAATCAAGACTGTGATGAAAACTCCTTTGCCCAAAATTTTGGTCCAAAACCTTCACTGCAATACCTATCAAGCAAATGAAGTTCCGCCATGTGGACAGGTCCTAGCTTTATCAGAGAAATAATTTGGATCCAGCTATCTCTTGTTGAGCAGTGAGCTTCTGATGCTATGTCATGGCTAGAGTTCCGAAGTAAAAGCAATTGGATGTGTCTGTGTGCGTGCATGTGTGTGTGCGTGCTTGTTTAAATATGTTTATGTATATGTACAGATATTATATGTTGCATCTAGCATGTTATCAGATTGGCCTACAAGTAAATGAATACTCATAAATTAAGTCCAAATACCTATTGACTTCACATGAATTTAGTAATCTTTGGTAAATATAATTTTTTTTTTTTATAGAGACAGGGTTTCACCATGTTGGTCAGGCTGCTCTTCGACCTCAGGTGATCTGCCTGCCTGAGGTTTTTTTTTTGAGACAGAGTCTTGCTCTGTCACCCAGGATGGAATGCAATGGCACCATTTCAGCTCACTGCTCTTGGGTTGCAACCTCTGCCTCTTGGGTTGAAACGATTCTCCTGCCTCAGCCTCCTGAGTACCTGGGATTACAGGCATGGGCCACCACATCGGCTAATCTTTTTTTTTTTTTGGTGTTTTTAATAGAGGCTTTTTCATGTTGGTCAGGCTGGTCTCCAACTCCTGACCTCAGGTGATCCACCCGCCTCAGCCTCCCAAAGTGCTGGGATTACAGGCGTGAACCACCGTGCCCAGACTATTTTCAAGATTATTTTGTCTATTTTTTTGGCATTTGTGTTTCCAAATGTACTTTAAAAATCATCTTGCCGATTTCCACAGAAAGCCTGCTGGATTGTGTTGAATCTGCAGATAAATTTGGGGAGCCCTGAAAACACTATCAAGTCTTTTAGGCAGTGAACCTGATATTTGATTTAAAAAATTTCTTGGTTGGTCGTGGTGGCTCACACCTGTAATCCTAGCACTCTAGGAGGCTGAGGCGGGCAGGTAACCTGAGGTCAGGAGTTTGAGACCAGCCTGCCCAACATGGTAAAACGCTGTCTCCACTCTGTCTCAAAAAAAAAATTTTTTTTTTTCCTAGCAATGTTCTATAGTCTTCATTGGAGAGATCTTTCATTACACATCTTTCATTAAATTTATTTTTAAGCATTTTATGTTTTGCCATGCCATTTTGTGCTATTTAAAAGGTTTTATTTTCTGAATGTTGACAGGATATAGAATCACAATTGATTTTTGTGCGTTGACTTTGCGACCTTCACGTGTTCGTCTTAGTAAAGTGACTGGTATGCAGCTCATGCCTCTCTTCTCTGGCAAAGGAGGGGCCCCAGATCTCAAGCCTGGCCTCGGGTGGGGAGAGCCTTGGTTGGACCTGGCGTTGTGTGTCTGCAACCCTCTGAGGCTGGGTTTCCAGTTCGTGGGCTCAGGGCCAGGAGAGGGGACGGACTACCATGGAACATGGGGCCCATGCAGGGGACACAAGAGCTGGCCTGTGCCACAGCCTGGGATTCTAGGAGGGTGTCCTTATAACTCAGTTCCTTTATGGAGGAGGATGCGTGTGCCAACTGAAAAACCACCCATGAAAATGACCCTGCGTTTTGTGGCGCACCAGCCAGATTTTACTAGTTAAAAAAACAAAACAAACAAACAAACAAACAAAAACCAACAAATAAAAAGGCCTACACTTCGCAGAAGTTGCGGAAACTCGTAACTACACGGACAAATCTCAAGAGATTTGAGTTGGCCGAGTTTCAGAGGCAGGACAAAAGAAGGCCGGGCCTCCTGATCCCTTCGGAGAAAGCTCTGGAACAGCAGTGGCGAATGCTCAGTGACAGAAGCCAGGTCGGTGGTGATCCCGGGCAGGGGAATTGACTGGGGTGTGCACGAGAGAACTTTCTGGGTTTAATAATATCTTTTTTTTTTTTTTTTTTGAGATGGAGTTTTCGCTGTTGTTACCCAGACTGGAGTGCAATGGCACGATCTTGGCTCACCGCAACCTCCGCCTCCTGGGTTCAAGCAATTCTCCTGCCTCAGCCTTCCGAGTAGCTGGGACTACAGGCGTGCACCACTGTGCCCAGCTAATTTTTGTATTTTTAGTAGAGACGGGGGTTTCACCTTGTTGACCAGGATGGTCTCGATCTTTTGACCTCCCGCCTCGGCCTCCCAAAGTGTTGGGATTATAGGCGTGAGCCACCGCGCCCGGCCAATAATATATTTTATATTATTTTGATTGCGGTGTGGGTTACATGTCTGTAAACACGTACCGGGACTTCACGGCTGAGTCTTACTGCATGTGAATTACACCACTATAAAGTTGATTTTTGAGAACGCGAATGATAAACCTAACAATTTTCGTTCCGTCTGGAGTAAAATGACAGGAAAGAGCCCTTAAGGAGATCCGTGGGGGGGACCTGAGAAGGCGCACTTTATTGACGAAGTAACCTTGGGAGTTCAAAGAGCTGGGTTACTTATTACTTTCCTCAAGATAAGGGCCCTCGCATGACCTCGGAGGACCCGGGACCCGGGATCCCACGGAGGCCAAGGCTGATCCCCGCCCTTCCGCGCTTGCTGCGTTACACGGAGCAGGACGCTGCCCGCCGTACTTCCTGTGCCATTACGTCAGAAAATTTAATTTCCTAGTGGGCACATAGGCTCGTCGGACATCGTACTGTTCAGCTAATCTAAAAAACAATGTTTGTTTTTAACTGAACGGTGTTTGCCACACTCATCACTGCACAAACTGTGAGCGCATGGCTTGGGAATTTTGGCAGCAAGTTCATGTGACAACACGGCCAGGATGTTAAGGCCACCGAGGGAGGCACAGCCTATCGCCCACCCGGCCCCCCCCCCCCCAAACCGCTAGTCCTTCTTCCTCCATGGCTCCATTTTTAGCGGGCACATTTCGCAGATGAAAGACTACATTTCCCAGCCACTCTTGCACTGAGGTGGGGCGTATGACTACGTTTTAGCCAATGGGGTGTGAGCAGTTGTGGCAACACAGCTCCTGGGAGGCATCCTTGAAGGGGAGGCCCCGCCTCCCCTCGGCGGGCCGGAGCGCGGCCACCATCCCTCCCCTCTGCGGGCTGGAATGCAGACTTGATGGCTGGATCTGGGCTGCTATTTTGAGCCATGGGAACTAAAAGCCGGTCCAGGAACTCTGAGCCCTGGGTCATCTACTCCAGCTTCACTGGGCTGAGAAATAGACTGTGTCTTGTTGACACCGCTCCTGTTTCAGTTTTGTCATTCTCTTTGGAAAGTTTGTGGGATGCTCTGGGCTTCATTCCTTTGAGGGTTCTTGTCCGCGGGGCCAGCAGATGGCTCTGGGGACCTAGTGAGGAGGCTCACAGCCCTGCAGAGTCTTATCCATTAACACACATACCGGGTGTAGGGAGGAGTTCTGCCCTTGCCACTTCCGTGGGAGGAGGGCGGTGGGGAAGCCAGGACGGTCCTGCAGTTCCAGCGTGGCCTCCTCTGCTGAGGCTCCCGGCGGTCCTGACAGATGGGGCCGGGTCCTGCTACCACCTGAAGCGTGACATGTGGCGGCCACCTCCCCGGGGTCCTGCTGAACATCTACTCTTTCAGGCCCCAGGGCCTCCCCTTCCTTTCGGACCGCGAGGAGAACAGCACACCATTGCCAGCCGCTTGTTGACGGCTGTGAAGGGGTCCCTTCTCCAGAGGGGGGTCCTTCTGGGGCTGCTGAAGCCAAGAGTCACTAAGGGCACCTGCCGCCTCCTCTGCCCCAGGGCGCCTCTGACCTCGCGGCTGCCCGCAGCCCTCCAACCCGCCCCGCGCCCGAGCCAGTACCACACGAGCCTTGTGCGTCCCGGCCCCGCCGTCAGCCCCGGCGCCCGCCCTGCCTGCCGACCTCCCTGGGGCGGAGGACTCGGGGCCCGCGGGGGTCGGCGCAGGGCGGAAGGCGGGAACGCCGCGGCCGGAGGCGCAGTGAGGGCGGCGGCCACAGGGCGGCAGCACCACCGCTGCTGCTCCGACCCCTGCGCCTGGGTGAGATCGGTGGGAGCCCCGGGCGCGCCTCCTCAGCCCCTTAGCTGCCGCGCAGGTCCCCGCGGGCCGGGCCGGGCCGGGCGGGGCCTCCGGCGAGGTCCTTGCTGCGTCGGGGCCGCCTCCCCACCCGCCGGGCGCACTGGAGCCCCACGCGCGGCGGCGTCTGGTGGGCGGGGCGGGGTCCCTGGAATGAGCCGCGCATCCCGGGCGCGACCCGAGCGCTGGGGCGAGTGGGTGCGCGGCACTGCGGGCTGGGAGCGCCCCTCGACTCGGCCCTCGCCCCTCGCGGCCCCGGCGCTTTCCGGGTGCGCCCGCGCCCCGCCCCCACCGTCCCCGCCCTGTGCGCGGGGGCCCAGAGTGGCCCGGCCGGCGTTGAATGCAGAGATGGGGCTTTGTGAGCGGCCGTCCCCCGCGCGCGCCCCCCGCGGCCCTCCCTCTCCCCCCGCGCGCCCCCCGCGGCCCGGCCCCTCCCCCGTGCGTACCCCGCAGCCCGGCCCCTCCCCCCGCACCCCGGGCCCGGCCCCCGCCCTCATTAGCATAGCAGCTGCTCGCCGAGCCGGACGGCGCGGAGGAGAGGGCAGAGGCCTCGGGAATGAATGGGGGCCGGGGCTTTGGAGGCGAGAGAAGAAAGACCGACAGACGGACGCGCGGAGAACGGTCGGAAGGACGGCCCCGCAGAAGAATGCGCCGGACGGGCTTGGGGGGCTTCCCGCGGGGGGCGGGGCGGCTCCGGGCGATGGAGCCGGAGTGTGCGGGGTTGGGCCCAGGGACCCGGCGCCCCGAGGGTTTGCACCGGAGGAAGGAGCAGTTGCAGAGGTTCCAAGACGGGCCACGGTCCCCTCCCGTGGCCTGCGCCCTCGCATCCCGGCCTGGGGTTCTTTCCCCAGCTGTCCCCGGCGCGGGCCTCCTTTCCCGTTCTTCAAGGCCCTGGTGGACGCTGCCTTCTCCCCGCGGGCCAAGCGAGCTTCAGGAGCATCTGCCTTCCGGAGGTCAGAGGCTTTTGCGCCGGGTGTTCCCGCGTCCACGCCCCCTCTGTCCCGACCTGTGCGGAGGCAGCTTCTTCCCGCTCTCCCCCGCACCCCGGCTTCTAAGTCCTGCCCGCCCTCTGGCCTGCTCCCACGCCTGCTGGCTTTAGACATCACTCTTTCTAGCTGACCATCTTCCCGCATTTCCTGGTCTTTCCGTGGCGTCGGTTCCAACGTAAGCGCTTCCTGCCTTCAGCCCGGGTCAGATCAGAGACAGACAGTTGGACGGGAGCCCAGCAGTCCTGACGGGGTATGTGGGGCAGGCCCTGACCTTGCTGGAACTGTCTCCTTTCTCTCAGGGGTTCCCAGGGACACAGACCCCACCTGCCAGCCCCTCCACCCTGGCTCTCCTCCGTGCCTCTCAGCTGGACCCCTCCCCTGGCCTCCAACGCACACCTGCAGATCCAGGAGGCCGGAGCCCCCGGTGTAGGCTGGGCCACCCAGGCCTTCTTTCTTACCCTAGCCACAAAGGGCCTGCCTGGGGTGGGGGATTGGGGACTCCCCAGTAACTCTGCCATAGGCCAGCACCCACCATAGCTGCTACTACCCACACCACCCTGCTGCAGTAAGTGATTTGCTGAGCGCAGAGCCCCTGGAAGAAGTGGGCACAGGCCGGTGAACTCGGGAGGGAAATGGGCATGAGACACACAGCAGCTTTCACCTGCCCACATCCAGAGACCAGGGACTTCCTCCTCTTTGCCCATACCCCAGAGCTGCCCCGTCCCCTGCGCAGGGGCATACATGTGCCCACTCGGTGGCCAGCCTCCCCTCCACTGAGCTGCCCGTTCTTGCAATGTGCTGCCCAGGGCTCCCGGACGAGGACAAGCCCGGCTGTGCTCAGTGCCCCCAGACCTCTCTCCTGGGCTCTGGACACCTGGACCCTCCCAGCTGAGATTTCATTCATAGATCTGACCCCAAGAGGTGGGGTCAATCCGGGTTTTACAGTGTGTGTCTGCCTGCCCCCCTCCCTGCCCACTCAGGCTATGCCAGGCAAGGAAGCTCAGCGACCCTGGCCATGGCCATCTGGGCTGGTCAGTGCACACAGCGGCACCTGGGGAGGAAGCAGATGCCCCCCAAGGCTCCACCCTCCCAGCCCTCCTCTCAGCTTCCCACCGGGCTGCCTGGCCAGGCTTCCTTTTGTTCCTGCTGGAGAGAAAAGCAGCACAAGGCCTTTCTCAGTCAAATGTATCTTTCAGAAGAGAGAATTTATGAGAGTACCTTTCCAGGATCCTGTGCCTGGGAGGCCCCCGGTGCCAGGCCACGCCTCTCCACGGTGGGATAACTTCCCAGATATTGCAGGGGTAGCAACTGGCTGGGACCCCACCCACCTGCAGGCTAGTGCCAAGAACATATGTTACCTTGGTTTTAATCAGACCTGGGGGGGGGGAAGGGTGGCGTGGTCCAGCATACCCCTGGGCCGCCCTGGTGATGCCCAGGCCTGCCCTCATTCTCTGGATACCCCAATTGTGTCAAGGTTCTGTGGCCACTCTCCTTTCCAGCGGCTGGGCACCCCCGAGCTGGCCTAGGGCAAGACTTCCCAGAGCCTGCTTCAAGGAGCTGGCCCGTCTCCTGGGCCAATTCCACAGGGTAGGAAATGCATAAGCAACGGAAAATGGGCCTGGGTAAACCACGGGTAAACAGGGAGGCAGATGCAGAGCAGGCACACGGAGGTGGGGTCTGTGGCAGGGGCCAAAACTCTGCAGGACAGTTAGGGAAGCAGATAGCCCGGACCTCCGAATGCACGAAAAGTGGTTACCTTGGAATTCCGGGGCTTTGCTGTTGTCCAAGTTCTCTGCTGGCTGCTCTTGCTGGGGGCATTGTCTCAGGAGTGGCCAAGAGTATGCTCCTTTAGGTCAGGTGCTGGCAACAGTCACCCTGCTCTGCTCTCTCCTCTTGCCAATGTGGGTGCTCAGCCCGACACTCAGGTCTACCTCAGGGTCCGTGCTCTTCAGGGTGCAGGACTCCAGGCCTGTGTGGGCTTCCAGAGCTCCTGAGGCCTCCAGGGGACTTTCTGCTTGTTAGGAGTGAGCAGCTACGGTATTTCCCCCCAGTTTAGGAGATATCCCTTCTGTGCAGCAGGTACCCTCCAGCATGACCCTCTGGGGGTCAGGGTGGGCAGGGCTTCAGGCCCAACTCTCCCCTCTTGGGGGGGTGGAGGTCTCAGCGGCTCTGCTGGGGAAGAGAGGAGAGGCTGACACCAATTCTGGGCACTCTGGAGGAGCTGGGTCCTCAGGAGTCCTGTGTGTGGCCAGGCTGGGTTTGTCGGTTGCGTGGGGCTGGGAGCCAGCTGACTAGGCTCTGTCTTCAGGCTAATACAAGCCAAGCACTGTGCAGACGACACCCACAAACTGTTGCAGCCTGACCCTCATCCCCAAAGAGGATGTTCCGCCATTTGTGCCAAAGCCAAGAAGGACCAACAAACTTTTTCTTTAATATAAAAAGATCAATGAAAAATTTATTTATAAATTTTTCACGCTGGGCTACAAGTCAATATCGTACAGTCAGGAATGTGCTGCACAGACTTTATCCAGTTAGAAGTGATCATCCCGTGACCCACACAGCTTCGATATAAGCCTAGAAAGTCTTAACATTAATTAACATAATTAAAAAGGTATTTGCTTCTAGAAAAAATATACAGAAGAACTCCTTGTGGAGTAATCTGTGCCTCCATTTCAATGTCTGCTTGTTTCACTGACATTATCAATATATTCTTCTCACACAGTTTTATAAAAAGCCACAGAGGGCCGCCCGAATAGGACCAGCCACACACAAAGGGCCTCCACCCACCTGTGTCCTCAAGTGCTCCCCATTTCTGCACGAAGGGTCAGCAGCCCTTCCATGAAGGGGAAACCTCATTTAAATTTGAATAATTCAGCCTCCCTTTTATTTCTCAGGATCAAAACAACAAGGGGTGTGGAGCTGCATAGAAAATTAGAGCCACAGAAACCAGGAAGGGCGCCTTTCAGGAGAACCTCCCGGCCCCAGGTCTGGACGCAGCCCCTCCCCCACGACAGGATTTCGGATTCTAATGGAGTCCTCGAAGCTCTGGGAGGCTGAAAAGGGGCAAAACGGTCCTTCAGTTCACTCAGCCATTAGCACAAGAGATTCACAGTCTTATAGGTATTTTATAAAAATATAAATATGGGTACACTCTGTTGCCTTCACAACGCTGGATACATCGCCCTTTAAAATTGGGTTTATAACCAAGATTCAAAAAATACACCTAAAACTTGGCTTAAAATATGTTAATATTTTATATTGTCATAAATGTTATGACATTTAATTGTGGCAAATCCATTTACTTTTTTAAAATGTGCAACCGTTAACTATGATAGAACGCACTAGAAAAGGCAAGGAACGTCCCCTTAAGCCCTTGCCCGCCCCCGTGTCCCCGCCACCCTCCAGAGCCAGCGAGCTTCCAGGATCCCGGGAAACTGCAAAACAGGCCAGTTTGGGGGGTGGTGGCCTCATCCAGGAGGGGCGGGGGAGAGAGGCCCTGGGGCTTCCCAAACTCACGATTTGAGGGAGAAGGAGGGAGGGGGAACAGAACAGGGTGGGGGGTAGACCTGGGGAGAAGGGAAGGGGGAGAGAGGGGAGAGCCTCCGGGAGATGGGAGGGTGGGGGGTGGGGGCGTGAGGGGCAGCACGGGAACACCATCAGGCTGGGCGGCATTTTCAGTGCAACCAAGAAATGGGAGACTCAAGTTTTTAAAGACTAGAAAAAAATGCATCACTCCCCCATGACCATGCACAGTATTTTCCAAACAAAAACCAGGCGCACAAACTTCACCCACAAATGTACACACACAAGATAAATAGTTGCGAACATCCAGAGCAACGGAGCGTGTCCTCGGCCGCGCGTGAGTCGCCGACGGCGGACCTGGCGGCTGCTCCTCTGCGCCGGGCGGGTCCTGCAGGCGGCGGCGGGGCGCTCCGAGTCCGCTTCGCCCCCGCCGCCCGCCTTTCACCTTCGGGACAACACGTTTTGCGCGGAGGATCCGGTATCTCGGGATTCCCAACTTGCTGGTTGCGAGACTCAAATTTCAAAAGGGGCTGGAGTCCGCGCCCCGCCCCCACCCGCTCGGCGGCCGGGGGCCGTGGGAAGCTGCTGCGGCCGGGCCGGGCCCGGCACGGCCGCAGGGAGGCGCTCGGCGGCGGGGCTGCCCGACCCCGGGACCGGCCGGACGCACGCGCCGCATTCGCCGTGGCCGCGGCCTCCTGGCGGGGCCTCGACCCGGGCGCACACCGAGGTAGTTGGCGGGAAGGTACAGCAGAGACGACGCGGGCGGGGCGGGGCCGGGCCGGGGTCGCGGCGGCATCACCGGCGGCTGGCCGCGTACTTGGCCTTGGTGATGAGATAGAGCACGATGTCCTGGTGGCCGCCGAACGCCGCGATGTGCAGCGCGCTCCAGCCGTCGCGGTTGGCCAGGCGGATGTCGGCGCCGAACTTGACCAGCAGCTTCACCAGCTCCAGGTTGCCGTCGATGACCGACTGGTGCAGCGCGGTCTGGCCCTCCGGCCCGAAGGAGTTCACGTTGAACTCGCAGCTGGTCATGTTCTGCAGCAGCGACTGCAGCTCCTGCGTGTTGCCCTTGCGCACCGCCTCCTGGAAGATGCGCTGGGTCTGCGGCGCGGAGCAGGTGGACAGCTCGGCCTGGCTCATGTTGCCTCCGGGCGCGGGCCGCGGACCAGGCCGGGGCTCAGCGCGGGCGGCGGCTGCGGCGCGGGCCCCCGGCTGGCTCGGGGCGCGCCTCGGCGCATGGAGGGCGCGGCGTCCCCGGGCCCCGCACGCCGCCTCTGGGCGCTCCGGGAGCTCGGGGCCGGGGGTCGCCGCCGCGGGGACCCTGCCGCATCCAGTCGCGCCCGAGTGGGCGACGGGGGAGCGCGCTCGGCTCGCGGGGGCCGGGCCCGGCCGGGGACTGCGACGTCGCGCGGTCCCGGTGCCTGTTCGGTTTGGTTGCGGCTCCCACGCAGTTCCCAGGCGCCTCCCCACGCGCCGCAGCTCTCACCAACCTCCCGCGCCGGGGCGCCTTTTACCTTCTTTATATTTGCATAACAATGGAAGCCCATGACGCGCGCGCCGTCGGCCCCGGGATTGGGCCGCGCCCACGTGGGGGCGGAGCGTGGGCGGTGCCGGGCGTGGGGGCTGGGGGCGGGCCCCGGCGGCGGCGCGCTTCGCGGCAGGGGGCGCTGGTCGCCGGCCTTGCCCGGGCGGGGGAGGCCAGGTGGCCGCCGGGGGGGTGGGGTCCAGCTCTGTCGCCGCCGCGATCCGCGCGCCTCCGGGCTCTCCGCGTCTCTCCGAGGTCGTCCCGCCCCTTCTCCCTCCGGCCACCCGGGGAATTCCAAGCTCCCTGCGCCTGCAGACCCAGGCCTTGTCCAGGACTCGAGCGCGACCGCCAGGTGGCCCCGAGGGCGGCCTCTCCCGGGTGGGGCGTTTGTGGGCATCTCAGACCATGGCGAGGGAAAGACCTCTCTGAGCGGAGAGGCGGGCGGCGACAGCGGCCAGCCGGGCCTCCGGGCTCACTGTCCACGCGGGTGGCATCTCCAGGAAGGGCCCTGACATAGGGCCCTCAGCCACGCAGGTCCTTTCCGCGTGTGGGCAGCCTGATGGCAGCCGGCTCAGCTTGTGTTTGCTGCAGCCGCACTGATGCGAGGGGTCCCCCCGCGGCTTCCATTGCCTGCAGGTCGAGGGGGACCTGCTGTCCTCTCGGGAGGAAGGGGGACGGGGGAGGGGGGGACAGCTGCCTGCCTCGCTCTGCTGCCCACCTACCAGCAGGAGGGACACAGGGGTCCTGCCCAGGTGAGCAGGGCGAGGTGCGGCGCCGGGGCTGTCTGAATTCTGAAACGACTGGCTTCCAAACCGTAAAACCCAGTTTTATTGCCCACTCTAACAATTGACCGGGAGGCGCTAGCAGGGGGAGGCACAGCGCATTTTCTCATTAGGGTTTTACAGTTTACAGCTCGCTGTGGTCGCTGGAAATTAAGGAGGAGTGATTCTCAGGCGCGGAGCAGGAGGCCGGGCAGGCTGGGGCTTGAATTCCTTCTGAAGCCAGGCCGGGAATTCCGCGCAAGCAACTCTGAGCTGGGGCTGGGGAGACCCCCCCCCCCCACCAGGCCTTGTCTGGGGATGCTCGGCCCGCCCACCAGCCACAGGGCTCCTGTGGTGTCTGCTCCGTGCCCCCACGTCTAACTCCTCATAGGACTGTGTCCCCACCCCATGCTGTGCCCACACTGCCGGGAAAAACCGGGCAGGTCCCCTCCGGGACCGACCCTGTCTGACTGGAGCAGGGCTGTGCGCCCTGGGGTCCTCCTGGTGGCCTGCGAACCTCTGTCCCTCGAGGGTCTTCCTGGGGCCGTGGTCTCACTGGTTCTGTTCAGGCCTCTCCCCTGGGGCTCAATGCTTCTCCCAGCAGCTCTTAGGGGGCCACGGAGGGTGCTCCCCAGTGTGCAGGTGGGGACACAGTGGAGTGCTGGAGCAGGCCTCCAGCAGAACAGAGACGGGCACTGTGGAGCCAACCCAGGGCAGGGACTGCGTTGCCCAGACTGCCATGCCATGCACCTTTGGCCTCTAAAGCAGGGGGAGCCACTGGGCTGCCTGCACTCCCTGGTGCTGGGTGCATCTCTGGACCTCGGACCAGGGCTGGGTGTGCAGGTGCTCCAACCTGGGCATTAGTGTGTTTTGTGCATCTGCCCAGGGCCCAGCCAGGCTAGACTGGCAAGAGGCAGAGGGCATGGCTGGGGGCTGGGCGGTGCCCTTGGCTCTCAGGGCCACAGGCCCTCCCCTGAAAGGTGGGTGGTTTGCAAACAGGCCGAGGCCCAGGTGGGCTTAAGCCGGCTCTGCTGTGGGCCAGGAGCAGGGCCTGGGAGAAAGTCCCGTCGACATCCCTGGCGGCGCCAAACAAAGGGGCCCTGTGTGAGCTTGGTGTGGGAACTCGGGCCCCGCCACGGGCGTGAAATTGGTGGCGGCCCCTGGTGAGGGCCGGGCGGCTCGGGCGCCCTGGCAGGGACAGTGTGGCTGGTGGGGCGACCCTGTGCAGCGGTGGCAGTCTACCCCCTGCCCTGGGTTTGCCAGGGTCCGGAGCGGGGTCAGGTAGAGGTGGCTGGACCTGGCCTGCCATGTGGCTGTGGCCCAAGGCCTGTGCCCAGGTTCATGTATGGGGTTCAGTGTCTTGCCACCCCACACTGCCCATGGGGAGAAAGCTGAGGGGTGCTGGTTCTCGCTCCTCCACCATGCACAGTGGCTCCAAGCTCTCCTGGCCACACCCAGGGCCCTGAAGCTGCTCCATCAGGATGGGAAGGGGGGAGGGGCCAGGGGCAAAGGCTCCAATACAGCACTTCCCGAATGATTGCCAAGGGGCCTCCAAAAGGTGGA